CTACAAATTGGATTCCATGTGTTTACATTTTGATGCTTAAATGAGAGTTCCAACTTCTAATTATGGAATAGGTTATAAATATGGGGTGTACTTGGGTTATTATGGGGGTGGATACGTGTAAGTCTAGAAAGTCTGAGAAGTTGAACGGTTGGTGTTTTTGTTGTTTGATATATTTTTCTAGCGAGGGAATCAGGGAATGAGGAAGAAGACATAACATTAATGAGTTTTTGGAGGAACCAAGCACATGAATGGAGTCTATAGATTACCTACAATGATGAGGTTACCATGTTGTTCTTTAGATATGCATGAATTAGGCCTTGACAAGTTCATGACTCATTGAAAGAGGGACAACCATTTTTCTTGATCGTTAATTGCTCGGTACAGGCTCTATGATTGCATCACATATGCAATATTCTTTATATAGATAAGAAAATGTATATTATACCTAATTAGCATCATGGCTATGACAAAGTAAAATCCCTATAAAAAATACAAAAATGCACAAAAGTTAACACATCTGGGATAAATATCACAAAAGTCACTACATTTTTTTTCATCAAATTTTATACCCAAAATGTGATGTTGCCAAAGAGTGTCATGCTAGCTGCCACCTGATAAATGGTCCATTGAAACAAAATGGAAAACAGAGTGTCCAAATTAAAACAAAAAAATAACATAGTATCAAAATCGATCTTTCGTTTAAACTTAGTTACTTTTGTAGGATTTTTCCTATTTTTAAACTAATTTATGCACTTTATTTGTCGGGTGATCATTAAAAATTGATATATATATATATATATATATATATATATATATATATATATATATATATATATATATAACGTACCCCCTAGCACAGGTTAGAAGTCGCGCTCAGTTGCGCTAAAGGCGCCTCATGGCAGGCGACTAGGCCAACCTACTCCCAGCGTAGCCGCCCCGACGATGTCCCGTGCCCGCAGGCGTCCATCAAGATTTGGACGACCGTATAGAAGGCTCAGACCTCAGCGGGGGCCTTCCACTTCACGACAAATCCAATGGCTCCAAGCGACAATGAGTATGCACATATCATTACCACCTGAACCAATTGTTAGCTTTTACTCAACGAGAAACACGATTAGCTAATCAAGGCGTCGGATCCTATAGGACCTGATGACCTTGTCCCCGTACGGACTCGCTGGAGGCCTCAGTATAAAAGGCCTTCACCATCACCTCAAACAGTAAGTTTTTCTCTCTCAGCACTAACCATACACTCTTAGTTTAGTCGCTAACTTGACCGTCAGAGCGTTTTTCCGGGAGCTTCTCTTGGAGAATGGCTGATGGTTCTCCTCTATTGTGACCTCGCAGGTCTTCCTAAAGCGATCAGAACCACCTTGAGGCAACCAAGAGCCACCACATCAGATTGTCGGAGGACCAAGTCGTATCATTTGGCGTCGTTCAATGTGTAACAGACGATAACCAAAATTTACACATCATCAACCTCAAAGATGACAACTAAAAGCAACGGCAAATATAGCGAAGTACCGAGAAGCCCAATCGGATCCATGATGCTGTTAGAACCATACATCACTCCCATTACCACATCACATCATTCGAAAACCGTTGTGACTAATACACCACAGTCCAGTGACCCAATTACAATCAGTACACTGATGCGTGAACTTTGGAGGCCAAGAATGGAAGAACCGATACCCTTTGCCAATATGCCGCCACAAAATTTTCCATTAAACAACCATCAAGCGACGTTGATTCTCAACAACATGAAGCAGCCGATAGTATAAACCATCCGAGGAACATTCACTTTCACACAAACACCACCTCCACTGGTAAACCAAGTTGTCGGCGAACAAACCATCGACCTCTATGCAACCTCGTTCACAACAACCACACCACTCTCTATGCTATTACAACAATTCCCCCCATTCACAATAAACCAGCTACTCTCAACAAACCAACCATTCTCGACAAACCAGTTGTTAACAATGATCCAACCATTCACAACAAACCTGCCACTTACCTTCCCATTCCAACCTCAAAGCTTCTATGGCCCAACGGTAACACACCTCTCAGCATACAAAAATGTGTTGGTGCAACCCTACGTCACTACCCAATAGTTCAACCCCAATCACGTACGCTAGATCCCAAACCAAAACTTCTTGTCTATAAGTGTGACATCCCGTCTCACAAAAGAGCTCTTAGACTATGAAATACCAAATACTGCAAAGTTACCACACCTTAAAACCTATAACATGACTACTGACCCAAATTGCCATATTGACAGGTACGAGTGGATTATGACCTCACTAAAGCTAGATGAGCAGTTCTAGTGCATGTAATTCCCAACAACATTAGATGGTAATGGAAGAACGTGGCTTAAGACACTCCGCCCAAGGAGCATCTACAACTTTGGCTAGCCGAAGTGTCTCTTCTTGACGAACTTCATGTAACTACGGACGTAAAAAGGAGATTTATACTCCAATATCGGCTCTAAACAAAAGAAGGGGGAGATAGTGAAAGAATACTTTGTGAGATTCACTAATGCTACCTTGGACGTTTCAAACATGACTAAGGGTTGATAGCAGGAGCTTTCATATGGTGCCTTATTTCCTGCCCCTTGTCCCAGAAGCTCATGGGGAAGAAACCCCAAATGTAAGCTGACTTGAAAGAGAAGGTAGAACACAACCTAAGGCAGGAGGAAGGAGAGGTATTGAAGCAGACATATCTCAATGCCATGATCACCCTAACCATAAAACAACATCACCAACCTACCTACCATCAAGAGATCCAGGGAGGTAGTAGACACTTTGGGTGTATGAGGTGCCCACACGGGTGCTTCAGGGAATTCCGAAAAGATGAAAGATGAGGATGACGGCTAGACATCTATGTTGTGGCCGATAGGCAGGTGGGAAATGGGGCGAAAGGATACTACTACAAATACCACAAAAAGCAAGACCCATGATATCATCAACGGCTCGGTACTGAAACAACAAATGGAGGAGAAACAATAAAAAGGGAACTTGATAGAGATCGGACGGAGCCTCTACGTCAAATTCAACACCAAGAATGCCAAGAATGGTACAAAAGCAAACGAACGTCCCCAGGAAATCCTAACCATACGGGAAAAAAGAGGAAGGCCAAGGGACAACAGCAGAATAGATAACATCACAAGATCCATGCAAGACCTAACTTTCTTAATGATAGACCTAGACCCCGCAGGCTGCAGGAGGAACAACCAGTGATAATCCAAGGATCTATAAGAAACACCATCAAGTATCATGTGTATGTAGACACTGGTAGCTTGACAAATATCATCTACGAACGATGTTTCTGCCTCCTTCCGGACATATGGAAGGAGGGCCTTAAGCTTGCATACGGGACAACTGACAGACTTTTCAGGGTACAACCTGTAACCCTTATGTATGATCCATTTACCATTCATACTAACCAACCATGAAAAAAAATTAGGCAAAAGACGCCCTCATCGACTTTGTTGTCATACAACACCCATCATAGCACAACATTATACTAGGACTAACAACTCTATTCAGGTTCAGAGCGATACCGTCCACCATACACGGAGTAGTGAAATTTCGCATGTCAGAAGGACCGGAGACAATCCTTGCCACACCACCAAAAGAATTACAATGCTACGCGATCATATAGCCAAATAAAATCACAAAAGAGGCCAAAAAACCACGGCCAGAGTTGTCTAGTGGAAGGGTGATCATCAATACGGAACACCTGGACCAACCAGTCAACATAGGAGTCAACCTCCCTCCGAAAATAAGATAGGAGTTGGTTAACCTATTGAAGAAATACAAACATGTTTTTGTGTGGACACCTATAGAAATGGTGGGAGTATACAGAGAAGTCATAGAGCACAAGTTAACGATAATTCCAGGGACTAAGGACGTGAAGTAGAAGAAGCGCGTCCAAAAAGGAGACATGAATAAGGTGATCAATTCCGAGGTAGCCAAGTTGAACAAGGTAGAGATACTTCACAAAGAGATATTCCCAACATGGATTGCAAACCCAATCATGGTCAAAAAGAATGATGACACGTGGCGTATGTGCATCGGCTATTCCGATCTAAACAAGGCATGCACCAAATATTATTATCCCCTACCAGAGATAGACCAAAAGGTGGAGTCCTTGCAAGGGTTTAGCCTAAAATCCTTCCTAGACGAGTACAAAGGGCACCACCAAATCTTTATGAGCAAGGAAGACGAGGAGAAGATTACCTTTTACACAAACCATGGTGATTTCTGCTACTAGAAAATGTCGTTCGACCTAAAGAACACAGGGGCAATCTATCAGTGGCTTGTTGACTCGCTCTTCGCAAATCAGATCGGTAGGAATATCGAAGTATATGTAGATGACATGGTCATAAAAAACCCAAACGAAGAAAGACTGTTGGGAGACGTGGAAGAGATGCTCATTACCCTATAGAAGGTTAAGATGAAATTAAACCGGGGAAGTGCACATTTGGAGTAGATGAAGGATAATTCCTAGGGTACTACGTCACTCAGGAAGGGATCCAACCGAACCCTACGAAGGCGGACGAATTGATGAAGGTGCAATCTCCACTCATTTTGAATGAGGGTTAAATTGAGAAAAAATGTTGAGAACGAGAAAATAAAACTGAACCACTCATTTTGAATATGCTAATTTAGCGCACCAGCACACCGGGAGGACAAGACAAATTTTATTCATATATAAATTATAAAGACGTATTCATATTTGAATAACACTTATTATATATGAATAAATGTATTCATATATGAATAAGTATGTGTCTGTTCACAAGTGATTATTCATATATTAATATAGTGGTTGGTGGCGGAGGTGGTGATGGTGAGAGGAGTAGCGGTGGTGGTGTCAGTGGTAGCGGTGGTTGTGGCAGCATTGGAGGGCATGGTAACGGAAGTGGTGGCAACAGTGACAGGGGTAGCAGTAGCGGTGGAGACGGAGTGGTCGTAGACATGGTAGTGGTGGCCACGACAATGGAGGTGGTGGTGGCAGCGGATGTGGTGGCGATGGCAGAGGTGGTGGTGAGTGGAGACAGTTTCAGAGGTGGTGATGGTGGTAGATGTGGTAGTGGGTAAGTGGCAGTGGATAGGTGGCAGAGGAGGGGAGAGGTGATGGATTTATATATAATATATGTTAATTTATATTTACAAATGAATATTACCTCTTCCCCATTATGTCGGTACGATGGAAGATTTTGCGACAATATATAAATTGGTGGTTGAGATTGATTCCATAATTCTCAAACCTTTTTTTTATTAATGAAAGAGTAACTAAAGAAAGAATACATCAATTCCATTTGAATTAAGGTAAATTCTTCTTATGTACCAACTTGAGCATCTATGGTGGAATTGCCAATCATGAAATTATGAAGTATTATGCATAAATTGGGTTGATGAAAAATGTTAGTATTATAGAAATGATGATTAGAACATTATCCATCAATTGGGTTCATGAAAAATGTTAGTATTATAGAAATGATGATTAGAACATGTATTTTTAAGTTTTTCATGTTTAAAGATTAATTCTTGAAATCGGGTTAAAAAGGGTCTTAAGCCCTAGAATTAAAGATGATTGATTCTTGAAATTGGGTGAAAAATGGTCATAAGCCCTAGAATTGAAAGTTGTAATCTTGATAAATTGAATTTGTATCTTAATCAAAAGCATTACTATTTCGTGAAGTATAACTAGGTTGGATGAATGGATTGAGATTTTGTGATAGGTTGTGCATAATTGGCTTGTACATTTAAGAACTCTATAATTAGTGAAAGAGCGACTGCACCAAGACGTAGATTGTGTCATAAGTGACAATTAAGACATGTTAATAAACAAATTATGGAGTTTCAAAAGTTGTGGAAATAAATTCTTTTATATATATATATATATATATATATATATATATATATATATATATATATATATATATATATATATATATATATATAAAAGGGGAGCACTTCTTAGGAATAGTGCCTAACCAAGGTACTAATACCTGTTCATCGGGTTCACTCCTCGATCTCGATCATGGTAAGGAATATCGGTTCTTTGTTCTTATCCAACCTTTTCTTCTCCATCAAAATCGTCTAGAAGCCCTAAAACCACCCCCACTCCACCGATCGATTTTGCTCCTCTCGGATAACGTTCATCGCCACAGCCATCCAATCCACCGCCTCATCTTATTCTTCCTTAACCCTCTATGAGTGTGTCCTCTTCACCACCGACGATGCTTCCGGTTCAAGCCTTACAAGGTCATTCATTGCTTTGTTGCTGTTCAATTGTCCACCGCTTTTCCCACAGTGTCACCACCATCGAAGAACGGCCACCCCTACTACCCTAAACTACGCCGTCCAACACCATCGCCCCCTTTCATCCTCAGCTTTGTCGTATTACCTATTAAGATCGAGACCCCCACCGGAGCACCATAGAAGCGGCTTACCACCACGGCAACAGTCTGTGTCGCCTTGGTAAGTTCTGCTTCTAATTATCTGAAATCGAATTAGAGTAGAAATTGTCTCCAAAATTTGTAGGAAAGGGTTTGGTTTCCTGATTTTCTAAGTTATTTTAAATCAATTTCACTTTGGAATTCCATTTTCAGGGATTCGGTAAGGTCGGCACCCCCATCACCACTGTCTTCTACAGTTGTCGCCCTTCAGGTTACACTTCAGTAAACTTCTCATGACGTTCTTTATCTGGCTTCTCTTCATTTTTCTGTAATTCCTTCGTATTTTTGGGGGATTTCGGTTACAAATATGTGGGTAATTTTGGAATTTTGTATGGGGTTTCTACTTCGTCATTATCACTGTGAAGACATGTTGTTTGGGGGATTTTGGGTTAGTTTTGTGTATATTCATAGTTTCTACTATGATTCATTTCAGTTGCTTTAATTGGTTGACTTTGAGAGTAAAACCTGGTGCGTCCTACCCCCATGTAGCTAACAAATATATATATATATATATATATATATATATATATATATATATATATATATATATATATATATATATATATATATATATATATATATATATATATATATATATATAATCATGTGGTTGTTTTTTTTTTCAGAATGACTTTTGGAAGTCTTCTTCAACTATTTTGGGGGAGTTCTACTGTGATGATTGGGGTCAGAGGCAATCTGAAGCTACGAGGTAGGGAGGATCTCCCCCAACAATTTCAATTTCATACAAAATTGGTATTTCTGTTTTTCTTCGACCTGCTAAAAACATCCAAAAGATAACAAATACATATACTCAAGAATGGTCTTAACATAATTTGAAGTAGGAAATGACTAAAAACTACATCCTTTAAATACATTAACGCGGGCAAATTTGTAAAAAGTTGAAATTTCACCATTTATCTCGATTTTTTTCATGTCGATTACCATTGATATAATGTCGAATTTTGGTGATATTTCGATGGAAATATGATTCTCCGTTGAATTCTGCTTTGTCGGCACAATTGGTTTGCTAGATTCAAAGACCAGTATGTTCTGATCACTCTTCTATTATTTGTAAACACTCTATTTCCTTTGTATGGTAATTATCTGTAACATATATATTTTATATGTTATATACTGTTTTTATAGTTACATAACTATTTACCAAAATGTATCTGAAAACTGCCCCTACATACTATTTTTATAGTTACAAATTTTTTATTCTAACATTTTTGGACCAAACTGCCCCTGCATACTGTTTCTATAGTTAAAAATTTTGATTTTCATATTATTGGATGAAACTTCCAATGCTAATTGTTTTTAAAATTTTTAAAAAAAAAAGATTGTTTTTAGTAGTTTTAGACCAAACTGCTCCCGCATACTAATTTTATAGTTATTTTTTTTATTTTAACAGTTTTGGACAAAAATGCCCTTTCATAATGTTTTTATACTTAAAAAAAATTGAATTTAACAATTTTAGATGACACAACTCTTGTATATCGTTTTTATAGTTAATCTTTTTTTGATTTCAACGGTTTTGAACTCAGATTGATGTTGAATATATTTAAGTAGTAAATTGATTATATAGCGATATACCTTGCATTTTGTTTTTATTCCTTTACCAAAAAACAAAGTATATAGTCATTTTTTGTTTTTCCATCTTTATGTACTAAATGCAATAAATAGCAATGAGCTTTAAATTTACACATTATTTTCGGCTTTTTTTTCTTTTTTTTTTCCAAAAATCAAACTTCATTGCTATTAGGTGCATTTTCCATTTTTATGAGTAAATTGACCCAAATGGCAAAATACTATAAATTTATATGTATTCTTTTTTCCATTTTTACGAGTGACATGCCCCAAGTGCATTCTCATTTAGGAAAAAAGAACCATGCATACACCAGCCATCGAATTTAATCTTCGATTTCACAACTTCACCATTCTTTAAGGTAACTTCTATATCGGACGTATGTTATGTTTGTTTTTTTGTTGTCTACGATTATATTTTCTAAATTTGTTTTTATTTTTTATTGTCGCACAACAGTTGTTCGCTGGAATACCTACATTAATCTACATGTCAAGAATGAAGCTTTTTTAGGTGAATTTGTCACTGCCATTTTTTGTTTATTTGTAGTATCACCAGATTAGTTTTGTTAATTTTTATGTTCCTTTTACTATGTTTAATATATAGATTGGTAATAAAATGAATGAACATTAATAGATCATGCATTTGGGAAATTGAGTTTATGAAATTTTTTTTTTTTTCAAGGGTAGCTGTTGCTTGGAAAGCTGCAAATATGAAAACTGGAACTATAGTGGTCGTATTTGGACTAGGTGCAATTAGGCAAGTTGTATGATTCTTGTGAACTTATATAAATGATTCTTATGAACTTATATAAAAATACAACTTTAAAAGGGTCCATAACAGTAAAATAGGACAATCTATGTTTTTTTAAATTGACTTGCCCCATAACAATACTAAAACTATAAACAAATATTTCATCAAGTGATATTTATAAAGAACAAACAACGGAAAAAATTATCGCATCTGACCCCCGCAACGCGGGTTCCCCACCTAGTTGTGTATTGTGTAGGAGTATTCAAAACCGAATATCCGAAATTTCGGTTAGTGGAATTTAGTATCCGAATTTTTGGATATTATTTAAAAGGGTAAATTACACCGTTGGTCCCTCGTGCACATGCCAGAAAGCATGTTTAGTCCCTATTTCCAAAATTTAACTCGTGCAGTCCCTCGTTGTTATTTATCTTGCATGGTTAGTCCCTATGTACGTTAACTTTAACTCCTTCCGTTTAAGCCACCCACGTGCCTTGCACGCAGGGGCATTTTCGTCTTTTCAGGGTTTGTGTCTATATTTAATGCCGTTACACTGCAACCCTCTTTTCCTCTGTATCCTCTCATTCGTCTCTTCCCCTCGTTCGTCTCTTCCCCTCGTTCGATCGATTTCTTCCAAATACATAACAATGATCGATATTAAATGCAATTGTGGAGCCACTGCAGTGATTCGCACATCTTATAGCAAAAGAAACCCTGGGAAACTCTATTATGGTTGTACAGTAAAGGTAAGGTTAATGACTTCAATTTCGTTCTTCGTCTTCTCTAATTTTGCCCTAATTCTTCATCTACTTTAATTGGTTCAGGGACCATTATGCAAGTTCATAGGATGGGTGAATGATTATGATCAGGACTGTGATTGTATGGCGTTTAGGATGAAACTTGAAGAACAAAATCGCAAATTGAAGCTTTACCTAGTTATTAGCTGGGTTTTTTTTGTTTCAGTCCTTATATATAAAGTGTAGGTTAAGTAATGAAGTTGTTAGTATTTTGGTATGTGTATATTGTAATGGAGACTCTTTGTAATGTTATTTGTATTAACAAAAAAATTTCAATTTTAGTTACAATATATTGTGTAATCATAATGTGGTGTTATCAGTTGGTGTTCAAATTTAATGAAAATGTGGTATATGGCATACAAACAATTAAACCATTCAATATACCATATGCAACATATGCAATATACCATTCAATACTAGCATATGCAACATATGCAATATACCATTCAATACTATGCAATATACCATTCAATGTTATCAGTTGGTATGTGTATATTGTAATGGCAACATATGCAATATACCATTCAATACTAGCATCCAATATAACAATTAAAAAGGACAAAAACTCTAAAATATCCAAGATAACCATTGACCATTAACATAAAGGGACATCCAAAATAACAACATAGTCTTGTGGCATACAAACAGTTATCCTACACAGCAACAAAGTATCAAAATACAACACATAACAACAAAGTATCAAAATACAACACTACAAATTCTCAAAGCATGGGGCTTTTTCCTTTGTTCCCAACTCCATTTTGTACACCACCACTGCTACCTGCTGCACCTTCTCCTGTTGTATTCCCTGCTGCACCTTCTCCTGTTCCATTCCCAGTATGTGATTGTCCCTTGCAGGTCCTTCCATTATGGCCCACATTTCCACATTTTGTGCATGTTACAGATTTCCATTTTGTGGACACTCCATCATCTTCTGTTGCAGATCTTCTTCTCTTTTTTTTTGGTCTGCCAATAGGGACACGATACTTTGGTGGTATCAACTTGGTAGGACATGTGCTTTTTTCCCACAATAACCTCCCATTAATAGGTTCAACTTTGAAGACATACATTTCTTTCCATGTCTTGAGCCAATAAGTTGGGTGTACCCATGTCTCAGGTATTCCAACATTTTCATTGTTGAGCCTCATATCCCATATAGCTGCTATACTATGTTTGCAGGGTATGCCTGTCAGTTCCCACCTATTACATGAACAAGTTTGTTGGTCCATATTAACCACATACTGATTAGTACCTTCACTTGTAACCTGGTACTTCCCATTGCCACAGAACACTGCCCTACACTGTGATGCCCTTTCTTTAATTTTTTCAAGGGTCTTAGTGGCTGTAGGAGTTAATGGGCCATTAGCTTTATCAATTTCTTTTTGAACCATGACAATTTTCCTCATGATATACTCCCTAATAAACTCCAAGCAACTGATAATTGGCTTATCACGACCCTTCACTATCTTGCTATTCAAACTCTCACACATATTATTCAACACAGCATCACAATGTGCCCTCCCTAATAAAACACAACTTATTAGATTATTTTTAAAAATTATACACTTATAAACATAATATTATATACCTGAGAAGTGGGATCTGGACCAGTGCTTAGGTGGAATAGAATTAAGCCAGTCATATGCTTCACTGTTAAGTTTCTTTAATTCTTCCATGGCACTGTTGAATTGTGGTATGGTGGTACATGTTGCACATTTCCAAAGACAATCCTTGAATTCCTTGCCCCTCCATTTACGTTTCATGTTCTCATGAAGATGCCTTAGGCAATATCTATGCTCTGCTGCTGGGAAAAGTTTCTCAAGTGCAGGCAATAACCCCTAAATCATCAAAAGAGTGAGGTTGCTTATTGAATTGTAAAACATGCATGTGAAAATGAATGGAGAAATTTATTTACCTTCTGTCTATCTGATATGAAAGTGAAGTTGGAGTTTGCATACAAACCAAGATCATCTCCTAAGTTAGTTAAAAACCAGGTCCATGAATTAAAGTTCTCTGCTTCAACAACTGCATATGCCAAAGGGTATGTGCAATTGTTCCCATCTAAACCCTGAATTATCATGTCAAACACAGTAATAAGCAAACAATTAACTATGGTCAAACATTAATCAAATACTAAAATATGATTATGCACATACCACTGCTGTCAGGATCATACCATGGTATGGACCCTTCATGAATGCACCATCAAGCCCTAGTAAATCTCTTTTCCCTGCTGCAAATCCACTTTTCAGTGGACCAAGACAAATGTATACTCGTTCAAATACCCTGGTCTCAGATGCATAACATGGTTCACTTTGCACTTGAAGTTTGACTGTGGTGTTTGGATTTCTACTCTGCACCTCCTGTAAGTAGTCTCTTAGACATGAGTACTGAGCAGCAAAATCTCCCCTAATTGATTCCAGGGCTTTCGTTTTCGCCCTATGAACTTTCATGTCTGACAATCCAAGTTGGTATTTCTTCTCAAGCATCTCACGTAATGCTCTAAGTGGTATTTCTGGGTTTGCCTCCACTGTGTCAACAATCTGTTCAGAGAGAAACTTGTAGTTACATGCCCTAATTTTCCTTGTTTGAAGGCACGTATGTTGCTTTTCATAGGTCTTAACAGTCCAGTTAATGTCTTTTTTCCACTTACTCACTAGTAGGACCCATGGGCATTTATGAACAGAACCATCTTTCACTTTCTTTTTCTTTTGACTTGGTCCCACTTTGTCATTACTTTTGCTGGTCCCACCTGTTTCTAATATCCCAAGGTTTGGTATTGTCCCTTTGCAAACCACTCTAATCCTATTTTTGTCATTCTTGACGAAGTCTAACTCCCTTCTACTCTGTATGGAATGAAGATAAATTTGTTGCTTAACTTCCTTGGCTGTGCTAAAAGTCTGGTGGATGTAAAATGGATCTTTGATAGCAGCTGCTTCATTCTTATGTGCTCTTCGTAAATCTCTTATCTTCTTCCTTTTTTTACTAGCTTCACCCTCATCTGATGAAGATGCAGATACAAATTCTTCAGTGTTTATAACCTCTAATTCTTCATCACCTTCTACTGCTTCATCTCGATCATCAGGAAAACTTCCAACCCACTCCACCTCTTTGTCAATGTTGAGGTGAAAGTTCTTCATATCAACCTCTGGATCATCTAACAAATTATCTTCATCAACTATGTAATCGCTATCTTGACTGTATTCACTATCTTCAGTGTCATCACTATCATGACTGTCTTTACTAGCTTGACTGTCTTCACCTGCTTTTTCACTATTTGGTTCATCTTGTTCCATAGGAGTCCCACACCATTCAAATGTATCATCCCAACCATCAACATTAGGACATGTGCTTCCTATCATTGGTTCAGTCAAAGGGCTTTCAATTCTTGGTATATAGGCAGGGGTTGACTCAACTGTTTCACTCAATGTAACAAGGGGTTGTTCCAAGGTTGTTTCAAGTAATGTACTAGGGGGTTCGTCCATAGTTTCTACATTCTCAAAAACAGGGGCTTCTTCACTAGGACAATCCCCTGAATTTGACCATGTCAATAACAAGCTTTTACGACAAAGGGACTCAGGAATTTCGTGTATCTTTATCTTTGCAGGGTTTGGGGACATTTGATACGTATGGAGCTTGGTTTCCCAAAACTCTGTATACACTTCTATCACCTTGTGTTCATACACGTATGACCTAAAGTGGTTTATATCTTCGTCACAACCCAAAGCATATAACCCAAAATCTAAATCCCAGGTTGGTCGTTTGAAATGATAATAAATACTTTTACCTGGTTCCACACAACCAAGCAATTCCATTATCTCGTCCATATCATGCACCGAGAACAAGTCACTATCAATGCCATCAATATATTTCATCTTCCCCTTTATGTATTTGCGGCCTGGAAACTTCGTAAAAACTCCACCATAGTTCAATCGTATCGAGAACATACATGGATTGTCAGCTGCG